GTATTAACCACAGCCACTGTGACTCAGCCAACCTCAATTGACTAGGACAGCCGAAGCTGTGCGCACCTGGCCCCCGTAGTACCAGATTTACACCTCAGGTTAGGTGTCGCAAATGCCGTGTCGCATTGCACACTCCAAAACATTGCCTGCATATCGCCGGGATTTCACTCGTCTCTTACGATGGGCAACTCATGCAGGCAGTGCTCATTTTAGCTCAAATTTACACAAAAATATGTACATTAAAATAGAAAAAAGTCAAAGTGCTAGCTTATAGCACTAAAAAGTAAAAAAGTGCTACTTATTTGCATTAAAAAGCTGCATTCTAATAGAAAATTTAAAAAATTTTTTTGTTGAAAATTTCTGTATAAACATTTTCAATGTTAAAAATTTAATATAAATAAAAATAAAATTAATAAAGATAAAAGAAACAAGTGGTGGGATATACATAAAGTTGTCTCTATTAAAAATCAATAAAGTTGTAAAAATGTCCAAAAATTTCAACGAATGTGTAAAAATATACATAAATATGTGCACGGCATAAATTTGCATGTTATTGTAAATTAACCTTGAAACTATTAACAACAAAAAAATTAATCATTTCAACAACGAAATTCAAAAGAAATTACAACAATAAAAAAACGGCTTAATTATATACACACATACATATAATCATACATAAAGCGAGGTGGCAAGACCACCACCAACACTGCCAACAACAACAACAACAACAGACACAGATACATCAAAAACAAATAACAGCAATAAAAGAGTGAAAATGAAAATGAAGCCAGCATGTAAAAATCAAGGTTAAAGTTTGGCAAAAAAAAAGTTATCACAAAACACTTACAACAACAACACAACAGCAATAACAATAACAATATTAACAAAGGCTGCTTAAACTAAACACTAAAACTTAATGAAATAGCAATAAAATACCAAAAACAAAGACAAATATAATAAAAGTCAAATTTGGCAAATTTACAACAACAATAACTTTAATAAATATAAAAAGAAACAAAAAAACAACAATTTAAAACGAGTTACAATAATAAATTTTGCGGTTGCCCTTTCTGTTTTTTTTTTCTTTTTTCTATTTTAACACTGCTTACTTACAACTTCATAAGTGTAAGCAGCGGCAGCGGCAGTGGTGGCAGTGACAGTGGCAGCAGCGGTAGTAGCAAAAAATTTGAATGCGAGCATTGAACGATGGTGCCCTTTACCTTACTTTACCTTGCTGACACACATTTTATGCTAAATTTTAGCTAAAAGTTTTTGCTCGCTCTCCACATACTGCTGCACCATTCACACGTACATATTTGCTGTCCAATAATAATAAATTTATGAAGTTAACTTGAAGCGCAAAAAAACAGAAACAAAAAAAACAAAAACAAAATAAATAAAACAAAGACAAGGAAACGAAAATCAACAATATGAAAATATATGAGCTACGGATTAATTTATGTATTTAAACAAAATAACCAAAAGCCAAAGCGACAAAAAAAAAAAGAAAAATTGGCAAAAACCTTCAAAAAGGTAAAGTAAAACAAAAAAAAAAATATAAATATAAATAAAAAAATACGTAAAAAATCAAAATTGGTTTAAAAGCTTATGGTCATTAGCTTAAAACTTACAAGACTTTTTTTG